TCTAATAATTGCACCAACAGTTGTTGCCTTCTCACCAAGCTGTTTGCCTATTGTCCTGTAGCCCATCCCAGCCTTGTGCAGGTCTACAATTTTGTCCCTAGTGTCCTTAGACAGCTCTTTGGTCTTGCCCATAGTGGAGAAGTTGGAGTCTGATAGATTGTGTGGACAGGTGTCTTTTATACAGGTAACGAGTTCAAACAGGTGCAATTAATACAGGCAATGAGTGGAGGATAGGAGGGCTTCTTAAAGACAAACTAACAGGTCTGTGAGAGCCAGAATTCTTGTTGGTTGGTAGGTGATCAAATACTTATTTCATGCAATAAAATGGAAATAAATTATTTAAAAATCTAACAATGTGATTTTCTGGAATTTTTTTTTAGAATCTGTCTCTCACAGTTGAGGTGTACCTACAATGAAAATTACAGAACTGTCCATTCTCTGGAAAGTGGGAAAACTTGAAAAATTGGCAGTGTATCAAATACTTATTTGCCCCACTGTATGTGAGTTGAAACTGTCTGTTTCTAGATGGTTTGGCGTACAGTGACCTGTATCGCTGTCTAGAGGGGAGGAATTCAAACAGTTTGTGTCCAGTGTGTGAAGGATCATGGTCAGACAGTTCGATATGTATGTTGTATAAACCGTGGCCTAAACAAAGACACAACTCTGCTACTTCAGGCAGTCACACTGGTTTGTTTGTGGATGTGTTTTTGAGAACAAAGCACCATCTAATGGTGACACCATGCAAATTAAGGAACAACTCTTTAATGGGCGTGTTTATGTGGAATCTAGACACACCTTGTCAGGCAGCAGAAGAGGGGGGCTCCTGGAAGGATGCTGGGAACTGCACACCAGCTGAAAGCCATTCAGCTGGGAAGAGTAATCCTGAGTGGCTGTATAATATATGTATAATCCTGACTTTTATTCACTGATGTGGGTCAACATCTAAAAACTGTGAAACTTACATTCCTGTTAATGCTACCAGCATCATTCTTCACAAGGGGTGTTTTCTGTGACACACACATACAGAATGTTTTCTGTGTTGCCTGCCTGTGTGTCAAATTATCTTCATCTCTAGCTGTATCCTTATGTCTGCGTGCCCCCAAAAGATGAGCACTGTAAAATAAACATGACAATAAGATTTTTGTTAACGAGATAGCCCACTGGGAGGCTAACCTCTCTCTGTACCATCAGATTTGGCATAAAACCAGCAGGACTGCAGCAATTTGGCCATGATGTTTAAAATGGCACTTTTAACCTCTCAGCACGTCGTGTGTGTTTCCAGATGAAGAAGAGCATCCAGCAGTGCAGGAGGGGGAGACTGTGACAGATTACCAGATCCGCACAGAACAGTACTGGATAGGACTGGCACGTGCTAACATGGGCCCAGACGCCAAGGACAAAAAGGTGGCCAAGGTCGCCCTCGCCATGGCTAGAGTCTTCTATGAAGACCAGTAGTGGTAATGGTTTGAGTGACATCTTTGTCAGTGCAGTCACAGGTGGAGAATGGCATTTGTCAGTTCATGGACATATTTGGCAACTTGTAAATATTGATGGGCTACACAAGCAAAACCAAAAATGCTTTAAGTGTGACCAAACAGAAAAAAAACACTGGTGTAGGTGGTCATTGTCCTAAGTTATTTTCCCTGTTCACAGACATAAAGCCCAGTCTGAGTATTGCAGAAACCCAAGTTTTATTAGAGGACTGAGCAGAAAGTAGAGGACAGTAGAGCTAAAGTGAAACATGATCTGGCCTTTTTCCTTTTCCTCTGATTGAACTTTTTTTTACTCATGCTAACAAAGTTGCTTTTCCCCACCACTTTTGCTAAGGTGTTTCTGTCAAGGTAACCTTTATTATCCCTGAAGGGCAAATTGTTGCACAGCCAGTACGGATGGGGTGATGAGATTTTTTTTTCAATACAGTTTGATGCACCATATGATGTGTCCGATCAGATTCAGTCACAATACAATTACAAATTCAATGTCAACAATGTATGACTAGCTAGGGAACACTTGTACAGTGGAACTTTGGATTGCAAGTAACCAGGTTTGCGAGTGTTTTCAAGACAAACAAATAATTTTGATTCTATGTACGAGCGAGGTCTCACAATATGAGTAGTACATACGCTTTGTCTGGTGAGTGTCACATAACGCACGTCACAACTGAGCCGATGTTTCTCACGCTTCACTCTCATAGTTAATGTCTGTACTGCAACAATGGCCCCTCACGCCAGCCTCGATTCTTTTCAAAGGTAAAGTGCAGGTTAATTTGTTTTATTTTTACTATATACTGTATTTTGTATTACTGTAATCATTTTTATATGGATAAGTGGGTGTGGAACGAATCATCTGAGTTTCCATTATTTCTTATGGGGAGATTTGCTCTAATATACGGGTGATTTGGATTACAAGCATGTTGTGAAGTCACTGATATATGGAGACCACACGGTATATATTGCTAGACAAAACGGTACGTATTGTGACATTTATGTATAGTGATATATTGAATTTTGATATATTGTCCAACAAACAATCCAAACATCCATCCATTCGTTGTCTATATACCACTAATGGGGGGTGCTAACGTAGTAATATCTGACTTGTAATCGGACTGACATTGATCCTGGAAACACACACACACAACCTTCCCCGGTTCACAAAGGTGTGTGTGTCTGTGTAACAGAAGAAAAGGGCAGAGGAAGAGGAGAGGTATGCAGGCAGAGTGGGGGGATGACATAAGTCACTGCAAGCACCAACCTATCCCTCTGTGACCTATTTTATCCTCCCTAAACATGCTGAATGAGGGAAGAGAGAAGATTGATAAATAATAAAGAAGAGATGGATGAGAATGAGGCTGCCTTCCTCTCGTTCATTTTTATTTCCTTCACAGCCCCCATCCCCCCCTTTCCCTGCAACCCCTATTTTATTTTAACTCTGGGGCAAAAAATTTTTTTTATTAATAACTAAAGAGAAGAGATTTTTTTGCTGCTCTGCTGACACGGGATCGCAGTGTGGAATCATCAGAGGTACGTCAGAGAGAGAAACTCATACAAGTATGTATGAGTATGTGGCGCGTTTATAACTTTAATCCCAAACAATAAATGCATGAGCATATAAACATCGATCACAAAATGAGCTATCAAAATCATTTTCCACATTGCCTGTTTGTTCAGTAATATCTGACTTATAAATGGACTGACGTTGATCCTAGAAACACACACACACACACAACCTTCCCCGGCTCACAAAGGTGTGTCTGCGTGTATGTGCGTAAGTGAAGGTACAGGCAGGATCAGTCTGACTTTGCTGTTACGCACCTACAGTATATTTGACAACTATTTTGATAATCGTTTAAAGCTTTGTGACGGCATGTCTCACTAGTGTCAGAAGTTTTACAAACCAGTCAGTCGATTAATGGAGAAAATAATCAGCAGGTTATTCCCTAATGACAATAATCAGTAGTTGCACTTGGATACATGGAAAATAGTTCAGCAGAGCTCCACCTCAACACACTACAACAGTAAAATCCTACTTTTACATGAGTGCATGAGTGACAGGTTGTTAATGTAATGATATAATAGTATAACAGTATCAGATATACAGTATAACATTTCTCTGCATTGAGTAGCCTACTTCTACTTTTAATACTTTCAGTACATGTTTGTGACAATATTTACTTTTACTTAATATTTTCAGTGCAGGACTTTTACTTGTAACACACTAGGCTACTTTTACAGTGTGATATTGGGACTTTTAAAGGACATGATTACTTCCTCTACTCCTATTGCTAACATGCAAACTAACACGATTTAGTTATATACTTAAAAAAAAAACATGTTTATAATTCTGTTTATTCTTTAGGGACAATCACCCAATCAACTGTCACAGCCACCTGCAATAAAAACACCCTCTGTTTTCATTCCTTTGAGGGTTGTTGTAGCTGATCATAATAGTAACTGTGTAATATTGTATACTGTAATACCGTGAAGTTGTGATATTTTCTGAGATGGTTATCGTGTGAAAATATCATACTATCGTAACCCTAATGAAGGCAACCCAGTGATTTAGAGAGGAGGCTGACTGACAGCATGCACTGTTATACATGTGCTCTGTGTGAAGGCAGGTGTCTTGCTGCACCTTTGAATGTGGCTATTTGGAACAGCTGTAAACACACCTGCCTTCAAATGTGACTGAATATAGCATAATAGTTCTTTTTGAGCACAACCAGCATTTAATTATGTTACCACTCACTGTTACATGTCTCCATTTGGAGAGTGTATGTTAAGTACAACATCCCCAGGTTAGAATCCAGATGGGGGCTCTTGTCCTGTCTAGCGATTGTCTGTCACCTCTCAGCTGATAAAAACACCACACAGTACACATGGTTCAGATGGGAGAATTCACAAATGACTTGATTTTGAATTGAGACCTGCATGACCCCTCATGTATTTATGCAATTATCCCAGCGTTCTGCTTTTGACAAATGTCTAATGACCCAGTAACTATTATGATTCTGTCTTAGCTCTAATTGATTCTATTTTGGACATGTGAGTGCACACATTTGTGTTACTAACTTCTCTAAATCCTAATCCCTCTGTTGTGGCCAGGAAATCCCCGACCTGTCATTCACCTCCTCACTGTATGTCTTTGTCTCTCTTCCTCCTCCGCTTCCCTCCCTATTTTTCTCTCTTCCTTCTCTCCCTCCTGCTCTACTGTCAGTGTGTTTAGAGGCCTAAGACTTAATCCCCACCCTCACAGTGATTTTATTACGGTAATCTGGACTAGAATTGGTTTAGCTCTCCCATCACTGGCAGACAGATGGACAAGGATGACAACAGCTGCAGGTAGGTGCTGAATGGGAAACAGGACAAGGAGAGAGAATAACTTTGTGATGTGAGAAGGAAAGTGTGGAAGAAGCAGAAAGACACAGAGGGCAGTCAGGTCATATCAGGTGTGATCTTAGTATCAGTTGTGCCTCCTGGTGTTTACTTTCTGTCCACACTGAGATATAAATGTAATGCAATCAACTTTGGCACAAAAAAATTCAAATTAAGTCCAAGTTAGAGGAGGGGGTGTTAATTCATCTCTCCTTCTTTCATGCCCTTGAGTAAAGAAACATACATCCATGAGAAATCATGCAGGGCAGACAAATGCTGCCCCAAAAGTTGACCATATACCACATGGACCAGCATGTGTATGTGTCTACCTGCCCATGCATGGACCACAGAAATGAGCTAATAGCCAAATCTGGTACGATGCATCTTTTCCCTTTGAATGGGATTAATTTTCTTTTTTTTGTACATGGTCACTGACAAAGCAGCAACAGTAAACATTTATCATAGCTGAATCTAAATGAAGAAGGTACTGTACTGTCTTTTAACATTTAAAATTCTGAAAGGATTAAATAAACCACAGCTTCTCCATTACCTGCTGCCGTCTGGTTATCAGTTGATGGATGTACAGTGTCATACCTCATTATCATAATATTGTTTCAGGAGCTGCCTGCACTCTATTTAAAGTGGTTTCCCCACCCTTGCTGCTACTGTATGGTACATAACAAATAGCATGCTGGCACAATATAATGGAGTGCAGCCTATTAGCCGTAATAGCTGTGATATTACTCAGAAGTACAACATGCTTCACCCAATCCCTGAGGAACAGTGCTGTGCTGTAATCCCCACACTTTGACTGACAGTCGGCTCATGAAAAAGGAAAACTGAAATTTTTTTGAAAGAGCCAGGATGCTGGTGGGAAAGAGGGTCATTCAGCAAAAAAAAGTTGATCCAGGCTCAACTTTTGCTTCAGTGTTATGCAAATGGCAAGGTGCTGGTTTGACCACTGACATACTGTAAATGCAAATGCACATTCTTAATGGTTTACTTTATGATGTCAACAATGCATTTTTGCTTGTTAGCAGCAAAAACTTTGCTTGTTGTCCTTCTTAGTCTACATCTTCTGTGATGGCCAAGAGCTCCAGAGCTGTACTTGTGATTATATTTCAAACAATTTTCTTTTGAGCTACACTTGATTAAACCACTGGCTAACATTACTGTAGATGCAACAGAGTTCTGCTGAGTAACAAAATAGGGGATGCATCCATATGTTAGAGAGGACGTAGATTTGCCCCAAACACTTAAAGTGCGTCATACAGAATTCAATGTGAATTTTACAAGTGATGCAATTGCAGACATTTAAGAAATGCTAACAAGGTGTTGTGAATAAATCCAAATTTGCCTGGGCCCCATCATCAGAGGCAAATGCATGTTGGTGCAAGCAGAAAATATTTGTTTGAATCAGAGATTTATGCTAATTTTGGGGCTTTATGAATCATAAACAGAGCCTAGTGGATAGACTGAAGGAAAAATCCTGGTGGTGATTTCTGAGATAAGTGACAGGTTAAGCTGAACACAGATACACTGTAGATTAATACTGGAGACATGAAACTATGAACTAAGATATATTACAGTGCCTTGCGAAAGTATTCGGCCCCCTTGAACTTTGCGACCTTTTGCCACATTTCAGGCTTCAAACATAAAGATATAAAACTGTAATTTTTTGTGAAGAATCAACAACAAGTGGGACACAATCATGAAGTGGAACGAAATTTATTGGATATGTCAAACTTTTTTAACAAATAAAAAAACTGAAAAATTGGGCGTGCAAAATTATTCAGCCCCCTTAAGTTAATACTTTGTAGCGCCACCTTTTGCTGCGATTACAGCTGTAAGTCACTTGGGGTATGTCTCTATCAGTTTTGCACATCGAGAGACGGAAATTTTTGCCCATTCCTCCTTGCAAAACAGCTCGAGCTCAGTGAGGTTGGATAGAGAGCGTTTGTGAACAGCAGTTTTCAGTTCTTTCCACAGATTCTCGATTGGATTCAGGTCTGGACTTTGACTTGGCCATTCTAACACCTGGATATGTTTATTTGTGAACCATTCCATTGTAGATTTTGCTTTATGTTTTGGATCATTGTCTTGTTGGAAGACAAATCTCCGTCCCAGTCTCAGGTCTTTTGCAGACTCCATCAGGTTTCCTTCCAAAATGGTCCTGTATTTGGCTCCATCCATCTTCCCATCAATTTTAACCATCTTCCCTGTCCCTGCTGAAGAAAAGCAGGCCCAAACCATGATGCTGCCACCACCATGTTTGACAGTGGGGATGGTGTGTTCAAGGTGATGAGCTGTGTTGCTTTTACGCCAAACATAACGTTTTGCATTGTTGCCAAAAAGTTCGATTTTGGTTTCATCTGACCAGAGCACCTTCTTCCACATGTTTGGTGTGTCTCCCAGGTGGCTTGTGGCAAACTTTAAACGACACTTTTTATGGATATCTTTAAGAAATGGCTTTCTTCTTGCCACTCTTCCATAAAGGCCAGATTTGTGCAGTATACGACTGATTGTTGTCCTATGGACAGAGTCTCCCACCTCAGCTGTAGATCTCTGCAGTTCATCCAGAGTGATCATGGGCCTCTTGGCTGCATCTCTGATCAGTCTTCTCCTTGTATGAGCTGAAAGTTTAGAGGGACGGCCAGGTCTTGGTAGATTTGCAGTGGTCTGATACTCCTTCCATTTCAATATTATCACTTGCACAGTGCTCCTTGGGATGTTTAAAGCTTGGGAAATCTTTTTGTATCCAAATCCGGCTTTAAACTTCTCCACAACAGTATCTCGGACCTGCCTGGTGTGTTCCTTGTTCTTCATGATGCTCTCTGCGCTTTAAACGGACCTCTGAGACTATCACAGTGCAGGTGCATTTATACGGAGACTTGATTACACACAGGTGGATTCTATTTATCATCATTAGTCATTTAGGTCAACATTGGATCATTCAGAGATCCTCACTGAACTTCTGGAGAGAGTTTGCTGCACTGAAAGTAAAGGGGCTGAATAATTTTGCACGCCCAATTATTCAGTTTTTTATTTGTTAAAAAAGTTTGAAATATCCAATAAATTTCGTTCCACTTCATGATTGTGTCCCACTTGTTGTTGATTCTTCACAACAAATTACAGTTTTATATCTTTATGTTTGAAGCCTGAAATGTGGCAAAAGGTCGCAAAGTTCAAGGGGGCCGAATACTTTCGCAAGGCACTGTATATACAGTAGTCGGTGCAGTGGTTAAAACTGTCACCTCATAGCAAGAAGGTTCTAGGTTCAGCTGTCAATCAGTGTTTGATTGTTTGTTGTGTCCTGTTGCTTTTCTTCTTTTGTCTCTCCTCTATTCACTCACCCCAACCGGTCGAGGCAGAAGGCCGCCCACCAAGAGCCGGGGTCTGTCGGAGGTTTCTTCTGTTAAAGGGAGTTTTTCCTCCCCACTGTCACCAAGTGCTTGCTCAAGGGGGAGTTGTTGGGTTTTCCCTCTGTAATAATATTGATAACAGTAGGTTCTAGACCTTACTTTGTAAAGTGTCCTGAGATGACTTTTGTTGTGATTTGGCGCCATACAAATAAAATTTGATTTGATTTGATCTGCCGATCCAATCATCATCCACTCCTCTAAGCAACGAGAGTCTGTCACACCTGTGACCAGCTGTGCTCAGCCGACAACACCAAGGCAGGCGGTCATGTTGCTGGACAAGAATGTTTTGCAGTGCTGAAAATTCAACAGTTTTTCTATTCTGAAATCAGAACAGGTTTTGCTTTGTGCCCATTCAGGAAGCTACATGTTTCAACAGTAATACATTATGTAACTGAAGTTATGTTGAAGAACCTTTAATCAAGGTTTGACAGTAATAAGTGTCCAGTACTGTTGTGAGGTTTACACTGCCAGGTTTAAAGTTCCTATGGCATGCTTATTTCCAGGCATTTAATGTTTAAACTTGGGTACCTCTCGATTAGCTTCACACCCCTCATAACTCCAAATAGTCTGTAATTATTTCAGAAAGATAAAACCCAAGCCTCTTCCTGAAAACAAGAAGATAGTTTATGAATGAGGAATGCATTAACAAAAAACTTTGACAAATAAACTCCGTTTACGACAGTGACAATACCTCAAATCCTAGCTGACATGTTCAAGCCAGAATATGAAAGTGGACAGCACAATGAACCAGCAGTTGAAACATCCCGTTTTTAAAATGGCACCGGTGGATGTCAGGCAAGCTCACATGAACACACAATTGCCTGGAGATTATGACCATATCCTTTACATTGTTGGGAAAAAAAGTCTTGCCAGTGAGAGTTCGTGAGACTTGTATAAACTGAGTTGCTTCTGCATAGAAGTACTAGAACATAGGTACACCTTATTTGTTTTAGCTTTAGGTCACATCTAAGATGACATCTCCTCATTCTAACATTGTAGATAAGTCAAAAACCAAGAAAATGCATGCCATGGGCTCTTTAAATGTATGTTTGGACTTTCAGCTTTATTGCCCAGATTAAAACATTTTTAGAAAAGTAACCAAAAAGTAATTGAAAGGAAGAAGTCACATTATTTTTGATGAAGTAATTAAAAATTGTTACATATTACATTTTTAACAGAGTACCTAATAATCTGTAAACTATTATCCTTTTTGAAAGTAATCTTCCCAACACTGGTTACTCATTAAAGGAATAGTTTAACATTTGCTGAGTTTGATGTGTAGATTTATAGTGTTGCCATGTCTGTACAGTGAAGCCACAGTCAGCAGCCAATTAGCTTAGCTTAGTTTAGGATAAAGACTGGAAATGGGAAAAATGCCGGTCTGGCTCTGTCTAGTCTAAAGCTCATTATAGTTAAACATTAATGTTTGTTTGACTAATCCAAAGAAAAGCTAGTAACAGTAACTTCCTGTAGTCTTATTGTCTAATGAGCTTCAGAGGTTAATGCTTTCCCCACATTTCCAGTCTTTGAGCTAAGCTAAGCTACCCAGCTGCTGGCTATTAGCATCACACATTCATAATGATCTTCTTGTTTAACTTTCAGCAACAAATCAAATGAGTGAATCTCCCAGAAGGTCACACTATTTCTTTAAGGCCCACCTGCCTGCTGAGAGAAAATAGAATATGTTTTACTACCACTACAATCATTTTTATACTTTCAGATGAAGCCAGCGGGGTGGGACTAAGGCAACGTGCAGAAGGAAAGACTGATTAAACAATGAAAGCTACAGGTGAAGGAGGAGGAGGGAAGCTTGTCTGTGTGGAGTGTGTGCCTCTTTAAGGGCTGGAGTGTGCTACTGAGCAGGAGCAGAGGGGTTGGTTGGCTGCAGTGGAACAGTCCTCTCTAGTGATCAGATTTTCTGACAGAGAAAGAGAGAGAGATCCAGCCACAAGAGGAGAAGAGGTTGTAAGACCAAGACAGCAGGTAGGCTGTGCGTCAGCCAGTGCTCCTTAGGGAAACATGGAGACAAGCAGGAGATGCTGAAGAGAACAGAGCACACCATAACAGGATTGTAAAGATGGATGATATTTTATCAAACAACCAACCTGAGGCCAACCTACACAGAAGATAAAACACTTATGGATGCAGTGGATTAAAGACCCACAGACAGACTGAGAGAAAGAGGGAGAGGGGCAACAGTGGAGGAGAAATTAATCAATTCAGTTTATTTTCATTGTCTGCGCATT